ATAAATAAAAAAATAAAGAAAATATAAAAACAGTTCTATGAAAAAATAATTTTTCATAACAAAAATAATTAGAGAATAACAATGGTAAATACGCTGTGTACCATGATCTTGGAAGAATATGTTTTCCTTTTTTTAAGAAAGAATATATTTTCAATTGCTAATCTATCTCTCAACTTATTTCCTAATAATACTATGCCTTTTTTCATTAAAGATTTTCCTTATTAACAAAATATCACACACTTGGTATAAGTTTGAATAATTTCTTCCTATTTCACAATTATACATTTTGATCTGTATTTAACTCTTTCAGTTCTCACACCAGAGAGACAATATGGTATTTACACATGTGCGTTCAATTTATTTCACTTAAGAGTATAATTTCAAGGTGCATCCATTTAGCTATAAATGTCTCAAGTTTCTCCTTTACGGCTGAGTAGTACTCATATATATATATATATGTATATATATATGCCCCACATGTTTTGTATTCATTCATTGGCTGATGGGCACTTGGGTTGTTTCCAAGATTTACCTATTACAAACTGTGCTGCTATAAACATGGTTGCACATAGCATATATCACTGTGGTATGATACTTTTAATTCTTTTGACAAAATACCCAGAAGGGGAATAGCTGGGTAAAATTGGGACCTTTAATCCTAGTTTTTTCAGTAGCATACCTGGATACAAAGTGAACACTCAAAACCCAATAGCATTCCTCTACACAAATAACAAACTCACTGCAAGAGAGATTAGGGAAACAACACTTTTCACAATAACATCGAAAAAACTAAATACTTAGGAATCAATGTCACAAAGGAAGGAAAAGATCTTTACACTGAAAATTACAGTACTCTGAAAAAGGAGATCAAGGAGGATATCAGAAAATGGAAAGACATTCCTTGCTCCTGGGTAGGAAGAACCAACATAGTGAAAATGGCCATACTCCCAAAACTGTTATGCAGACTTAATGCAATCCTGATCAAAATACCATCAGCATACCTCACAGAACTAGAGAAAACATTCCTGAAATTCATTTAAAACCAGGAGAGACCTAGAAGAGCAAAAACAATTCTGGGCAACAAAAGCAAGGCAGGGGGCATCACCATCCTGACTTGAAATTATACTACAAAGCTACTGTGATGAAAACAGCGTAATATTACCAAAAAGACAGACTTGGCTCACAGTCTGTAGAGGTTTCACCCATAGTCGCCTGGCTCCAAGGTGGGGTGGCATGGCTGAGGGGCATCGCAAAGGAGAAACACTCCATGGCAGGCAGAAGGCAGCAAAGTATCAAAGCCACAGCAGCAAAGCTTCCTTTCCCCTTTACACCATCCAGGCTACAAGCCTTTTGTGTGGTGCCACCCACACCCAGGGTGGGCTTCCCATTAGCCACACCCAGAACAATGATAAACCAATCAGTGAACTAATTTAGTTATCACACCCTTAATGCCAGCATCACACACCCTAGATCCAGCCAGCTCCAAAAAGCACCATCTATGAGCACATAAACCTTTAGGGGGACATCTAGACACAAACCGTAACAGCTTTCTATTTGATTATAGCCAATCCATAGATTAATTTAGGAAAAATTAACATGTGTACAATACTGAATCCTCATATTTATGATCATATTACACTTTATGTAAATTTTCTTAGTTACTTTTCCTATCTCTGGGACACAATACCCAACACCCACAAGTTACAGGAGAAAAGATTTATTGTAGCTCACAGATTGTAGAGGTTTCAGTCCATAGTCGGCTGGCTCCAAGGCAGGGCAGCATGGCAGAGGGGCAACGCAGAGGAGAAACAGTCCATGGCGTGGCAGGCAGGAAGCAGAGAGATCAGAGGAGGAGCTTGAAAGGGAGATAAAAATACAGTGAACCACCTCTTCCAACCAAGCCTCACCTCCTAAGAGCAAGTCATGTGTAAATGCCCCTATAACACAATCACTTCTCAAAAGCTCTACCTTTGTACATGTCAGGTTTGGGGAGGTCATCCAGATATACACCATAACAGAAGTGTTCACTGATTTATCTAAATCACATTTTATATTATTCCATAAGGTTCTTAAATATATTTTGGTTAGATTTGTTCTTATATATTTGATATATGGGTAAGATGGGCTACAAATTACCTTTTAACTTTTATTTTCATTTCATACTGTTTGTTGCTACAGAAACAAAGCATCCTGCTTGTGTACTGATGTTGTAACCAGTAACGTTTTTACACGATTACACCCTGAGTAGTTAAGTTTAGTTCTCTTGGATTTTTCTCACATACAGCCTAATCGTTTATTAATAATGAACACTTCAGGTCTTATTGTCTAAGCCCTGTATCTTTTATTTCTTCTGTTTCCTATTAGTGCACTGGATAATAGTTCCACCAAAATATTGAATAGAAATGATGATAGCAGGAATCTTTGTCTGATTCCCAGTTTCAAAGTAAAATCTTTCAATTTTTCCCCATACAACTATTACATTTGGTACAGATTTTTCATTCTTAGTCTTTATCTAGCATGCTAAACATTTTTCTATTTTTATAAACTTTATTTCAGAGTAGTTTTAATTTACAACAAAATTGCCAAGATAGTACACAGTTCCCATATGTCCCACATTCAGTTTCCCCCATTATTAACATCTTACTATGGCACCTTTGTCACAATTTATGTACCAAGATCCATAAAATGTAGCTAATGACCCCACCTCCGAGCAGTGAGTGAGTGAACAGGTGAGAACTTCAGCTGCCTAGAGCTGGGGCTGCCGCCCACCGCCCCCACCCCGCCTCTGGCCTCCTGGCTGTGCTGCTACCTGGTTCCACACTGCAGAGGCACAGGGGGTCATAAAGGCTGTTGTCCTGAACTCCAGAAGATAGAGCAGAAGTGAACAACAGGGAGAAAGCCTCTCTCAGGCTCCTTGATGAAAACTGAAGCCCACTGGAATAGTGAAGAGAATCTCTGCAATAAAGGCACACCAGACCACCGTACTTGGTAAGTTGGAGGGATCACCACCTCCCATTGGAACCTGGACTATCTTCAGGGGAAAGGCAGCCAGAACCTGCAGTAGAACCTTGCGGAGTTCAACCCTGCAGGAGGACAGGGAGCTCAACTTGGGACTCACAGCCAAAAATCAGCCTGAATCTCACAGGTCTGCTACTGGCTTGCTGAGACTCACTGACTTATATCTGCACACTGCTGCCCACGTTGTCTATTGTGACAGCAGAGACATACCCTGAAGGAGGCCCTTCATTTTTATTTTTTATTTGTTATTCTCAAAATTATTATTTTTTCTCTTATTTTTAATTTTTATTTTTTCTGCTCTTTTCAAACTTTTCCTTTTTTTCTCTTTCTACTGTTTCTTTCTTTTCTCTTTTCTTTCTCTCTCTCGTTCTCTTGCTCTCCCACATTGTTCCTTATCTCCCTTTTTGTTCCTGTTCTGGCCCTAATTTGGATATCTTCTTTCTTTTTCTTTTCTTCTCTTTTGCCTTCTCTCTATTTTCATTAGTTTTAAAGGAAAGTAAGTATAGTTTCTAGCCTCCCTATTGCTGTTAGGTTGTTCTGTTCCCATCTTTGTTCTTTCATTCTTTTTCTCTTGTTTGCAACAGGTTTCTAGAGTTTGCGTGATCTTCCTCTGTCCTCTGGTCTCACTACTAACCTTTCCCTATCCTTCTACCTATCTATCCTCCTTCCCCAACTCCTTCTAAGTCCCCATCCTGAAGGCTAAAGTTGCTATATTGAAGAGTCTATCTACTATAAACATATTTTGTGCTGGTCCTCAATTTTGATTTAATTCACACACTTAAAGGTGATAGATTAGCAACTATCACAAATTGTTATTTCTAAACTATGCTTGATGCTATTGTGTTGCTGATTGTATCACTTGGGCTAAGGTGTTGTGATTGATCTAATCAGTTGTCCTTCCTGGTGTAATGAAAATGAGATAGCTTTCAGAGTCATTAGAGACTCAAAACCGAGAGACCAGCTATATCTGGAAGATACCTCTGAGAAGCAATCATTCTGTAAGTGTTCTAAATACAAGTAACAAAGATACTTACAAGAAGCAACTTCGAAGTATCAACCCAGGAATTAAACCAAGGACAGAACCAACAACAAAAATAGAAATCAGAAGACATTTAAGCACGGCACAAACCCAGACTTCCAGCCCACCAAAGGCAAATTCTGGGGGAAACGGGGTGGAAAAGTCTGATATCAATCAACCACCTGGACACGCTGAACTGATAGCACAGGAAGTAACAAAACAGATGAATGAGGCTCTAGAAAAATTCAAAACAGAAATAATGTCCCAGATAACTACAGAAATGGGGAGCAGAATGAAAGACATGATTGGAGACTCTAGAACAGAAACAGATAAAAAAAAAAAACAGACGAGTTCAGGACCATGATGGAAACCATGAATGCCCAACATAGGAAAGAAATGGAATCCATGAAACAGATTCAAACAGATATCCAGGAGATTAAAAACTCTATTGAAAGCATATACAGCAGACTGAGGCAATCTTAAGACAGAATATCAGATATAGAAGACAAGATGGCGGTCAGTGACCATGAAAAGAGAGATCTCTTAAAAATAGTAAAGGACCATAAGAAATCAATCCAACAGCTCCTAGATGACACAAAGAAGAATAATATAAGACTGATAGGAGTCTATGAAAAAGCAGGAGAAAGTACAAATAACATAATAAAAAAACTGTTCACAGAATTAATGACAGAAAACTTCCCAGACAGAGCAAAAGAATTTGACATACAGATAAGTGAGGCATATAGGACGCCAACTAGCCAAGAGAAAACAAAAATGTACACCTAGACATATAATAATCAAGATCCCGGAAACCCAACAGAAGAACAAAATACTACAAGCAGTTAGAGAAAAGAAACAAATCACATGCAAAGGAAAGCCCATCAGAATAACAACAGACTTCTCAACACAAACCCTAAAGTCAAGGAGAGCCTGGAGTGAGCTATTTCAAGCCCTAAAAGAAAACAACCTCCAACCTAGACTGATGTATCCTGCAAAACTATCTTTCAAAATTGAAGGGGAAGTAAAATACTTCCATGACAAAGAGCACCTGAGAAACTTCATGAATACCAATCTAGCACTCCAAACAATTCTAAACAATATCCTAGAAAAAGACAACAAAGGTCACAGCTCCATGAGGCCCAACAGAGCAAGTTCATCAGGCAAGGCAAGAAACTAAAGGGAGAGGGAGAAAAATAAAAAAGAACCAACAACAGGAAAATAACATGACACTGATAAGTCAATACATATCAGTTATAACCAATCATGTAAATGGCTTCAATTCACCAATCAAAAGAAATAGACTGGCAGAGTGGATTAAGAAGCAAAATCCAACAATATGCTGTATACAAGAAATGCACTTAGTTCAAAAAGAAACTCATGGACTGAAAGTAAAAGGATGGAAAACAGTTCTCCATGCAACAGGAGCCCAGGAACAAGTGGGGGTAGCTATCTTATTTGCAGACAAAGTAAATTTCAAACCAAAACTAATTAAGGGAGACAAAGAAGGTCACTTCATTCTTGCAAAGGAAACAATCCAAGAGGAAGAGATGACAATCATAAATATATAAGCACCAAATAATAATGCCCCCACCCATACAAAGCAAGTATTAGGGGACTTGAAAAACCAAATAAGCACTAATACAATTGTAGTGGGGGACCTCAATACCCCACTGTCACAAATAGACAGATCATCTAGACAAAAAATCAACAACAGAATACTAGACCTGAACCAAGCTTCTGAACAAATGAACTTAATAGACGTCTGCCGAGTGTTCCACCACACAAACTCAGAATATACATTGTTTTCAGCTGCACAAGGGTCATTCTTCAAAACAGACCACATACTAGCTCATAGAACATGTTTAAGTACATGCAAAGGAACTGAAGTTATCCCGTGTATACTATCAGACCATAGTGCAATTAAACTGGAGATAAATAGCATAAGAAACCACAAGAACTTCACAAACACATGGAAATTGAATAACACTCTCCTGAACAACCAATGGGTCACAGAGGAAATTAAAGAAGAAATTAGACAGTTTTTACAAATAAATGATAATGCCAATACAACATACAAGAATCTATGGGACACAATGAAAGCAGTTCTATGACGGAAATTCACAGCAGTGAATGCCCACACTAGGAAAACAGAGAGAGCTCAAATAAACAACCTAATGGTGAATCTTAAGCTCATAGAAAAAGAAGAGCAAGACAAACCTAAAGCTCATGCAAGGGAGGAAATTATAAAGATCAGAGCAGAAATCAATGCAATGGAGACTAAGAGAACGATACAAAAAAATCAATGAATGGAAGAGTTGTGTTTTTGAAAGAATAAAATCAATAAACCTTTAGCCAACCTTATCAAAAAAAGGAAAGAAAAGGCTCAAATACATGCAATTAGGAATGAAAAAGGTACAGTCACAACAGATCCTGCAGAAATCCAGAGGATCATCAATACCTACTCCGAGAACCTGTACTCTAATAAAATGGAAAACACAGAAGAAATGGACAAATTTCTAGATATATATGAATTACTAAAGTTAAA